CATAATTCAATCACAGCCCATCCTTGATAACACCCATAATCAAAACATCACCAAGAACACTTCTAAAAAAAAACACTTTAGATGATCACAGATCTCTCTTAGAAAATCGAATTGAGATGTAGGTTATACAGAAGAATAGGTCTTATTTCATGGAAATATAGTCAGTCCAATACAGAGGTTCTGGAAAGGTTACAAATGAACGGAGAATTATTGAAATGAATAAAAAAAAAAAAAAAAAAGACAATTGACATACTCTGGCCAGATTAAAAGACATAACATACTTTCAAAAATAATACTGGAGGGAAAGGTTGAAGGCAAGAGAGCAAGAGGTAGGCAATGATACAAGTTGAAGGACAACATCAAGAGATGGACAAGCAGCAGTCTGAGAGAGTGTACAACCACAACAAGAGACTGAGCAGGTTGGAGATCAACTGCAGCCAACTTTTACTGTGGAGACGGCTGATTGATCTGATTTTAAGCACACACACACAAAAAGATCATCTAGTTCAAACAGCATCCCCCAAGGGGAGCTATTGGTTACAATTGTGACTTGGCTTATGTGCATCATTTAAAATGGCTGAACATTGCTCGCCACCAAGAAGCCCTGAAAAGGACTCGTGCAGTGTTGATGCGATCGCAGGAGACAAGTCCCAAATACTGTCACGACTGACAACAAAGCTGTCTACCAGCCAGCCAATGGGCGACCCGGTCGCCGATGGTGTAGACCGCACCTGACTGATTGAAGTCCCTCTGCTCATCAGTCCTGACTGATTGAAGTCTCTCTGCTCACCAGTCTTGACTGATTGAGTTCTCTCTGCCCATCAGTCCTCTGTAAAGAACAGTTGCTTCTCATCTTCTTCCTCAGCATTCTGAACCCTAGAGATTCCCGGCATCAAACATCACCCGCCTACACTCACCTCTGTGATCAGCCATTGCTTTCCTGCTGGTGGCTCCAAATTTGTGTAGGTCTGCCCATGTGGTGTCATCTCCACAACAAAGGTTAGCCACAATGGATCTTTTAACACAGCTGCCTGCCCTGGTGTGAGCCCACACAAAATCTCGCGTGTGACGAGATGGGGTGACACTAGTGGCGAGATGGGGTGACACTAGTGGCGAGATGGGGTGACACTAGTGACGGGTTGGGGTGACACTTGTGACGAGATGGGGTGACACTAGTGACGAGATGGGGTGACACTAGTGACGGGTTGGGGTGACACTTGTGACGAGATGGGGTGACACTAGTGACTTGAACCTTTTACTTTTGCGGGGAGAAAGAGTTAAAGTAAAGCATGCAACAACCACTGAGTATAAAATCTATTATTCATATGAAAAAATGTTTCTGGCAACAACAAAAAAATGTATCATGCAAACACTACCAGGAAAATACTCGCCCCATGTGACTGAGATACCATTTAAAAATATATTAAAAAACTGACTCAAGAAAACATTTGATTAAGATTAAAATTTTGGTCCCGGCAGAGAGTATTGTTATTAGTTCTCAGTTCACATTAATATTTGTTTAATGACCTCTTGATTTTCTGGTCCCTTGGAATTTACGTTAACAATGTGTTTTTTTTTTCTGTACATATTTTCCCATCAGAGTGCTTTAAAGGTCTGACACACATCTGACATGAAAAGCCACATCCTGCAGGTTAATCCAACAGGGTAAACCCCAGTTCAACCTTCCCCCAAAAAGGAGCTATAATTAGGACATCGCTAACGGCTACACCAGGTATTAATTACCCTGGTGGCGCCCTCTCTGTCCTAAGCAGGAAGGGAAGGTTTCACAAAATGACCAGTGCCTGGCAGGGGGCCAGAGAACTCAACCAACAAGTGGCCAGATAGGACTAACTAATAACTATGACATCATACGTGAAATCGTAAATTATTGGCGTAAACCGACCCACATTCGCACCACGATTTTACAAATGTCATGGATTTTACCTTGCATTAAAAATGTATTACACCAAAAACTTATTTACCCCAGAGCAGAATTCAATGGAACACACAATATGAACAGTTTACCTACGGGCACTAAAATCTTGACATCAGGAGCAAAAAATTCCGACTGTACCAAGAAATAAACCTTGAGGTCAGTAACAACAATTCATACTATTCCAAAAATTAAACTCTGTCAGTACCGACTTTGTTACTTACCATCAATATAACCTTAACTATTAACACTTTATTTCTGCAGGAATTTAATCTTGATATCAGTATAAAAAAGTTACTACATTCATAAAAAATAAAATCTTGGTATCTGTACAAACAATTCATACTTTTCAAAGAATTTCATTGTGAAATTAGTGCCAACTGTTTGTAATTTACCAAGTTAGTCCCTGGTATCAGGAACATCAATTCTGACTTAGCAAGAATTAAATCTTTGGAGTAGTACCAACAATTTGTATTTTCCCAAGAATTAAACCTTTGGAGTAGTACCAACAATTTGTATTTTCCAAAGAATAAAATCTTTGTGTAAGTACCAGCATTTTGTATCTTACTAAAAGGTAAATTTTGGCATTAGTACCAACAATTCATACTTTACCAAGAATTAAACTTTAGCATTATTAGTGCAAACAAATTATACTATTAGATGAGGCTAACCCGGGGGTTAGTACTAAAAGTGCACAATTCGCCAAGAATTCTATTCTGGCTTCAGTGATACAAATTTAAACCTCAGCGAGAGATGACATCCACACTGCTACAAGCCGCTAATATATCAACAGAAACCAGCTGTCATCATTAATATCAACAGCTCGCATCCGTCAAGAAATGAATCTCCTTAGTAAACAGTTAACCAATTGCCAAGAATTCAGTTTTAACATTTAAATAAAAACCAGATTTTATGGACTATAAGAAGCACTTTTCATTTTAAGAAATGAGTTCCGGAATTTACATGTGTGTTATACTCAAAACTGATATCCAATTTTTTTATATCTGAATTAAAACTCATTGCATTTTCCTGCCAGTATTAAAAAGTGGCATTTATCTGCGATAAAAAGCAAAGGATCCTTTTCCACGCCTTTGGGCATATTGGGTACACAGGGCTAGACCTATATTTTATAGACCAAGCAGCACTTGGTGGGTGATGTGGTCAGCATTGCGCTGGCCACCTTTACTCCCCAGGACTTTACCTGGTACCCATTCAAGGCTGAGTCGACCTGGGAGCCGAGGTCATTTTTTGAAAAAATCCGGCCCCCATCAGGAAACTGAACTCCCCCACCTTCTGATCCGCAGGCGAGCATCTAGCCGCTAGACCACGGGGGCGGTGCCGGATTAAACTTGTGAATGACCAAACATGCTCTCAGTGCGAACTGGACCACAAAAAAAAAAAACAAGGACGTCTAAGAAACATCCTAAGACAAGAGCAGATGAAACAGGATCAATGTGTTTAGACTGGTTTTCTGTCCATGATATCAAAGAGGGAGCGGCACAGAATCAAAATAAATGTCCCCATGTGGGTTTCAGAGCCCCATTTAGGGGGGGGGGGGGGCCAACATGAATAGACCCCCCCCCCCCCCCCCCTTCCTTTTTTTTTTAACAAGCATGTCCTAAAAGGAGACTAAGGAGGACTTTTCTTGAAAGATGGAGTGCATATGTCTGATAGATGAGCAACTAAAAATCTGCATAAACATAAGCCAGACTGGTAAAATGTTAGCGCACAAACTAGACAGTGTAGGCGCACAAACTAGACAGTGTAGGCGCACAAACTAGACAGTGTAGGCACACAAACTAGACAGTGTAGGCACTATAGAATAAGACTAATGTTCAGGAAGTGGACGAACAACCAGAGCTTCTCACCAGAATTTACAGCCGGTGAACACGCAGAAGAAGCAACAGAACAGAATGGAGGAACAGACTGCAAGCCATGAATGGTTTTTAAACAGATCAACAGAAAGATGATAAAGATGTCTACAATTTATCACTATCTGTCAGAACAGGCAGCAAAATTTTAAAGGTTAAAAAAAAACAAAAAATACAGTGATTTTGGGTGTTTTCAGTTATGGTATAGAGTGATTTTGCATGTTTTCAGTTATGGTATTCAGTGATTTTGCATGTTTTCAGTTATGGTATACAGTGATTTTGCATGTTTTCAGTTATGGTATACAGTGAATTTGCATGTTTTCAGTTATGGTATTCAGTGATTTTGCATGTTTTCAGTTATGGTATTCAGTGATTTTGCATGTTTTCAGTTATGGTATTCAGTGATTTTGCATGTTTTCAGTTATGGTATTCAGTGATTTTGCATGTTTTCAGTTATGGTATTCAGTGATTTAGCATGTTTTCAGTTATGGTATTCAGTGATTTTGCATGTTTTCAGTTATGGTATACAGTGATTTTGCATGTTTTCAGTTATGGTATTCAGTGATTTTGCATGTTTTCAGTTATGGTATTACAGTGGATGCCCAAGGCGTTATAATACACATACAGAAGAATCTGGCTAACACAAACTCATTTACAAATGAAAGTCAGATAACATGAACAAAATTCTGGCTCCAGCAGGGATGTGTTACGAATAATACATCTACACAAACAAGCTAGTAAAACTTTTAAACACGCACAACTCAGGCCCTGGCACAAAGCTATAGTCCAAATGGATGAAGAAACAGAACTTTCCGCTGCAGCTTACAGCCAGTCAACAAAGATAAAAATACAATACATCTGTTAGTCCCCAGTCAGTACACATTAAAAAAAAATATGTTTGTGTTACCGAGGTTTTAGTGTAGCACCTGTTGCATTTTTAGGAGGAACATTTATGATTTTTGGTCAATTTAAAAGTCAGTGATAAAAATTCTGAATACGTTATTTCTCGAAAAGCGCTGAAAAAAATGCATGCGTGTTTCATGGTCTGTGGCATCTTATAGTCCTTAAAATATGGCAATTCTGCGTTCTTTTACAATAAAAGTGCCCAAATGACAACTAAAATGTTTCATGAAGGATACATGAATATAGCATAAACTAAGCAGATTATAATACATGTTAACTAGGTCAACAACAAATTAGGCAATTTCATCAGCTCCGTCTTCCTCGTCGTTTTCCTTCTCCAATGCTGCAATCCGCGTCTCAAGGTCAACAATGCGCTTTTCCTGTTTGCGGACCTTGCTCTTCAGCTCGGTGATTTCCTCTTGAAGTTCCTTGACCTCAATGCTGTCATGCTTGGTTGATTGATACTGTCACGGTACCAAGTCAAATGGCAAGGGAGATGTAGGCGATTCATTCCAGATTGGATTGTCAATGGCAGTGGATTGGGGAGGGTCAGGGGAGAAAGACACAAGCAAAGGTTAAATTATGCTTCATTTGGGCAATTTTACAATAACAAAAATTATCTTTAGGTAACTATCTAGTTTTTAGTTTCCTTAGGCAAGTATAAATGTAATAAATCTAAACTATTCAAATATGTATTTAGTAACATTGCAGGTGGCAAACAAAATTATTGTTCAAGTCGCTAATTCTTTTCTTTTGTATCTATAAGTGCCAAATCATACAACTATTCTTAGCCAAATTAAGTCTCTTTTTCTTCTAAGGATCATGAGCTGTAAACTCACACAGAAAGTTCTGGTTGTCGTAAAAACGACTAATTAGGGGTGTTTCCTTCAAAGTTAGAGGTCATCTGCCTGATAGGCGAGGAACCAACAGTCTGCATACAAATAAGCCAGATCTGTAAAACGGATCTGCACATAGAACTCAAGTTCTGAAACAAGATTTCAGTCTAGAAGCAGATGAAAAACCAGAAATTTCTTCTGCAGTTTACAGCCGGTGCTCGGAAAAAGGAAGTGTGCAATAATTCTATAATTTGGCACTAGCAAAGGATTAACTCTTTGAGTCCCAGGGGGTTTAGCATCAAAGGCCCAAGTGGTAGTCAAAAAGAGACATGAAATTGGCGCAACATGCGTTCATTGGGCTTCTAGTTTCGAACATATAAACGTATGATACGTTCCTTGGGACGCAAAGAGTTAACAAACGTAAGCACATTGTTTTTTTGTCAAAATTTAATTAAACATACTTTTATGGCCATTTTATCAGCAAACATTTAAACATATTACTGAATTCTGGAAACAAGGCAATGAACAATTCGAGGAACAATTTTCCAGGGACAGCCTAGCTGAATTTTAAAAATAAATTATTAAAAAATTCATATACCTAATACATCTCGGGGCATGAATAATCTTTTCCTTTACTCAAGTTTCTTTACAATTCACCAATAATGTAATTATAATTTTTGCCAACAAAATTATTATAAAATAGTTATAAATACAAATAAATAACTGAAATAATTTAAGAAGAACTTCGCCAGCAAAATAATCTAACAATAATGCTGATGAAATGTTAAAGTGAATCAATTTGAACACTGCCAACAAAATTATTTTCAACTGTTTTATTCTTAAATGGCAGTAAATGCCATTTAAGAAGTAATCAATTTCATGAGAATTTATCAGAAAACTGATTAACAATGTCACTGAAGTGTGAAAAATAAATCAATTAAATAATTAAGTAAGTATTGTCAACAAACTTATTAACAATGTTAACAGACATTTAAAAAAAAAAATGAGCTGAAAGATTTTTAGAAAGGTCCTGTCAGAAAACTGATTAACAGCAATGTCCAGTCAAATGTGAAAATAAGTGAAATAATTCTGATAATTTAATCAGCAAACTGACTAACAATAATGTCATTTAAATATTAATCTGATGTGTCAACTGGGAAAGTTCAAAAGGTTATTCGTAAGAAACTGCAATATCAGTGGGTACAATGGAGGCTGATATGGTGAACACTAGGATGCTTGCCAGAAAACTTACTGCAACTTTTCCTTCCAACCCAGGGAGCATAATTCATTACTTCTTCTTCTTCTATGCATTCACCAGCTGTAAACTCTGGTGGAAAGTTCTGGTTGTTCGTCCACTTCTGGGATGCAGTCATGTTCCAGATCCTGGGTGTTTCTTGTGCATCTGTTTTACAGATCTGACCCATTTGTATGCAGACTGTTGGTTCCTTGCCTCTCAGGCTGATGCACTCCGACTTTGAAAAAAGCTCCCGATTAGTCGACTCTTACAACATGCTTTTGGGTAGGCAGTGGGTCTATTCTTGTTTTCCCTAAAACAGGGCCCCGGAACCCATGCGGGGACATAATTCATTCAAAATTAATGCTTTGCTTAATTATGCAGCACCTGCTGATGTTTATTTCATGCTTTTGTAATGAATTCATTGGAGCGGGTTTGAATTAAGACCACTTATATCCCAAAAAAATGCGTTTAAAGCTGCTATTCGTTGTTTACTTTTAAACAGACCCGACCCCCCACTAAAAAGGTCATTTTATATAATTCTTCTTCTTTCATTCCCTTGAAACAGACTATCTCTATCTGCAATGTTTTCGTTAGTATGAACTTCAGTCTTTTGTAATTCACTCAGCAACCCTAAAAGTTTGGCCTGCACCAATGTTTCTCTAGGCCGTGATAGGTTGTATCTAGGACAGTCTTGAAGGACGTGACCTGTTGCCTTGGGTGATAATCCAGCTGTACACACTGCCTAAGAACTTTCTATTACCTAATACAACCTTCTGGTCCTCAAAGGTTTTAATGCAACCAACCACTTGAACAAACTCCATGTTTTTTCTTTACTTCTCTGGACATTTCCTGGTATCCATTTCAGGCCGGGTCAACTTGGCAGCCCATGTCAACCTAACAATGCCTGCCTCGATGGGAACTTGAACCCATGAACACGGAAGGGTAAGTGTGCTAGCACTCCACTACTCTTCAATCCGGTAAACGCATCTAAGTAAAAGCCAACCTCCACCACATCTCAAACAACGATTACAACGGCCAGCCGCCACAAAGACACCCACGAACTAATACCTCCAATCACATGCAGTGGTGGCATTCAACAGACTGCCCTAGCTTTCCCCAAAACAGAACAAAGCAGTAACATTCCTGCAAGCTTGTAACATTTTGTTTCTACAAGTGTCCCACAACATATGTTATGTGGCTGACAGGGTAGGCTACGGGGCTGACAGGGTAGGCTAGGTGGCTGACAGGGTAGGCTACGGGGCTGACAGGGTAGGCTACGGGGCTGACAGGGTAGGCTAGGTGGCTGACAGGGTAGGCTACGGGGCTGACAGGGTAGGCTACGGGGCTGACAGGTAGGCTAGGCTATAGGGTAGGCTAGGGGCTGACAGGGTAGGCTACGGGGCTGACAGGTGGGGCTGACAGGGTAGGCTACGGGGCTGACAGGGTAGGCTACGGGGCTGACAGGGTAGGCTAGGTGGCTGATAGGGTATGTTGTTGTTACATGTCTGACAGGATATGCACTATGGGTGTTTTAAGTTTGTGTGTTCAAGTAAGTTTGTGTGTTCAAGTAAGTAAGTAAGAGTGAGTGAGTGAGTGAGTGGAGTGTGTGTGTGTGCGTGCGTGTGTGTGTGTGTACGCATGCATGCATATTAGAATGTATATATTAACCATCAATATTTTGTATTTTTACTTGACACTCATACTGCGTATTTTGCTATAACAACACATATATCACTACATATCAACTATCTGTGGATTCAAATACAACAGAGTTGTGTGAAAGACAAGAGTCTGGAAGGGCCAAACATAAGACGAGCCTGCATGACCCATAAAAAATAAAGTTTTGGTAATTCTGCACTGTTCACTGGCTCCCAAAGAGCGTTGCCCACATTCAGCTTATGATGCCATCGAAGCAGCATAAAAAAAAACTATAACGGTGATGATTTTTCTGTTGTGTCCTGCTACTCCTTAGTTGCTTCTGCAATGATGGGTGCCACTTAACTCTTTCAGTCCCAACCAACCCTTTATGTGCAATCAGATATCTTCCATGTGTGTCAAACAACAAACAATTTGCTTGCTGTTTAGCCAAACAATGCTATAGATACCTGGTTAGTTATTATGATGCTGCATTTGTGACAGTTATGCTTTTACCCTTGTAGAATTTTGAGTGTTGAATTAGGAATCGACATCACAGCACTCTGGACAACCTCCATAAGCGCTATGTCCCCATCTTTAGCATCAAGCAAAAAGTAAATATTCCGATAGTAACAGTAACTGTCTGATTGTATATCCGTCTTGCCTTTCCCCTGAGTGTCGAGCATTGGCCAGTTTCCCTTGTAACTCCTCGCAGTGCCGTTCTCCTCAGACCGTAATGATCTAACTGTTCCTCGGTACTGTTCACTCGCTCCCAAATGCTTGCCACTCTGCATGGATCATGCCTGTCTCCACCCTTCTCAACATGCTCTGTGAGTCAGTTACAATGATGGCTTGTGCGTACAGCTGATTCTCAAGCTAACGGAAGGCAGCAGTGACTGCCTCCACCTCCATTCTCAAACTAGATGTTGTTCGCTACCTTGTAATGTCAGCTAAATTTCACGGTACTTAAAAAGTTAACAAAGGTGAGTTTGTGTAACAAACTATTTGAATGGGCATGTTAACAGTTCAACAGGGTTATTTATAAGTCAAACAAGAATAAACAGAGTAATTCATTGAAAACAGACGCTGCTGCCATTAAGATTAGGTGTAAACGGGGTTATTGTTGTGAAAACCAATAGAAACCGCAAAGAACCTCTAGCTCTTCCAAAATCTTCAGCAGTCTGGGCCGATGTCTCCACTGTTGTATATAAAACTTAGCAGAAAAAGTTTTAAAAAAAACAAAGGTAAAGGCTAATTTTCAAAAATATATTATACTTATCATAATGAATTTATAGAATTAATAATTTTAGTAATTTCCTATAACATTATTTACACTTATGACGAATTTATTTTACTAATTCTTCTATTACTTTGTATTTTTAATGTCGGCTCTGTGGCTAAGTCGATGCGAACGCTTCATAATGCCTGGTTCGATCCCAGCTGCGGGCTATGCGCCTTGCGTTGGTTTCGACAGTGGTATCAAGAAAGCCAACCGTCCAGAAAGCAATGGCAAACTACTGGACATAAATTTGCCCAGAAAAAGCACACAACAGCCAGTGGTTGTTGGGGTTGGTTCTGCAACGTCCTGTAGAGGATACGCAACTTATCTTTATTCATCATCCATCTGAATTCTCTCATATCTTGAGATGTCAAGTTGAAGTCACACACACATGTATTCTTTTGGGCACACTGTCCATCTCCATATATCTTTTCTTTATCAAGGTGACCAACAGCACACACTAGCGTAGTTGGCTGA